ATCAGGTCCTTTGAGTGTATGGCCAGTAACAAGAATCCTGTAGCTTTGTGAAGAGTCAAGGGAAAATAAATCCCAGTTTCTAAATGTGACCTGACCTGGCCTGTGATTTGACTACCTTGACAGAGGAGATGTTCAGAAAAAGTTTGATATTTATTTGATGTCCCTCCTTGGCATCCCACTGTGCTTGTACAGAGCCACTGGTGTTCTGGCCTCTTCCAAGGGACAGGAGGTTCCAGGGATAGTGACAGAAGTTACACATAAACTGGTTTAAGTAATCAGAAACTGGTTTAAACCTGTAACAGAACAGAAGTTCAGTACACATAAACCAGTTTCAAAATGGCTGAAATAGGTTTAAGATAAACCTGACTGAATGTAGTATCAGACTTAACTGATTTGGGTCAAACCAGTTTAGGAAACTTCAGTCCCAGACCCCTTCCTGGTTCAAGTTAAATCAGTCTCCCACCATCCCAGCATGTTTTGCAGCCCTGGACTAGTCTGTGCTGTCTGCTCCAACAGACAAGGAGTGGCGGTGGGGGGAAGGTGAGGCAGGGCCACCCTCCCCCGCACCAGGCAAACCATGGCTGCGGTCTGAGACCAGGGAGGAGGGCTAAACCCACCTTCTCCCATACACAGAGCTGCCCTGCTGCTAAACGTACTGAACCTTACTTCTGGTTGTGACTGTGGACTACAAATCCCAGAGGTACCTGGAAGCAGGAAGAGGAAGTGATGAGCAACACTGCAGAGTCCTGCTGCTGTGATTCTGGACTGCAAATCCCAGATACCTTGGAGGGAGCAGGAAGAGGAAGCAAACACACAGCCCATGCTGGCTATGTGCCAGAGAGGCATGCTTTAGCGTGTCCAGTTGTTTCCCAGTTTAATCTCTGCAGCTTAAGCTAACCTGCAAAGACTGAATTAATTCAGCCTTGGGCTTTCTGACTGTCTGTACTTAACCCAGGAGACATAGTTTGCACATGGGACCCGACTTGCTTTCTAAAAATGGGAGGACTCCAATAACTTTAGAGTAGTTACAGAGAATGTTCCTAGTGCCAGGGGGAATCCGGCTCAGACTCCTCAGCTAGACTTTGCACTAGCCTGTGTATTTCAGTGCACGGTACAGCCTTTACTGATAGGACTAGTAGTTTAATTAGCATAGTCAGAAGATGCAGCCAGATGCACTGATGACCAAGTGTTGCAGGGCACTAAGGTGTCTGCTCCTTTAAGGGCAGAAACTGTCTAGAGAGAGGGCCCTGGGAACCAGGCAGAACCCCCAGGTACAGGTTGCTGTGGCAGCAGGCTAATGAGGGAATTAGCATGCACCTACACCTGCACCTGCACCTGGTCAGCTGAGCAGAAGGCGGCAGGGCTCTGGGTACATATAAAGCCCCAGGGCTGGGACTGGAGGTAGTTAGTGCTCTGGCAGCAGCCGGGGGGAAGGAGTTTGTGCAGAAAAGCTCTGCAGAGTTGATTGGTTGCCTATTCTGCTGCTGAAGTAAGACTAATGGGCTCTAGGAGCAATTAAGGGCCTGGGGATAGGAGGCACACATTACTGAGAGAGAAACTGGCCCTCTTAAAGGCCCAGAGTGTGGCCTCCAGTATCATTGTTATTGTTAGGTTGTAGCCCAGGGGCTCATATTTATGTTGCTGTTTAATCTGGTGGACCGGACTAAGGTTATGGGGGAGGAGGAGGCCTCATTGGGGCACACTACACTGTGGAGAGAGCCCAGTGCCAGAGGGGGTATGCAGACAGGGGCCAAGGGCCCAGTGACAGCAGGAGGCCAAGCTAGCTTAAGGCCTCAGCGACACAACATTTGAATACCATCTGCAAGGCATGGGGTGTAGTAAAGGGGCAGTTTTGGAGCCACGCATCTAGCCCATAAGGCTTGGGGTGTCCCGTGAGGCACTTACTTAGAGCGGGACCCAGCAAGGGGTCTAAGAACCCACAGCGTTTAGTGGGGTCCACCAGGACTGTGACTGCATAGCAACTTGAGGGCAGCCTCCATATCTACTATTTATTATCTTGACTTCCAAGACATGGCAGGTGAGACTTGAAGGCACCCACAGGGCAAAGCTGGCATGGTCACAGGGCCTTAGGGGCATCACAGCTGCCTCTAGGGACCCCACCCCATAATACCAAAGTCAAGTCCATCTGCCTTGACCTGCCAGGAGCACTTTCATTACAGTAGAATCAAACCTTCACTTTTTAAATTTCATTAAGCCTGGCGAACGGAATGAGTTCCCTGCAACAAGCAGGTCTTGTTATAATCAGAGTCTCAACTGAGACCAGTTGACTTCTCTTGTGATGTGAGCATTCTCTGAATGGAAAAAAATCAAATATCCCCTTTAGTCCCAATTTATTATTGGCAGTGACAGCTTGTTATGGGTTGCAAGGGATTGATCATTTTTTAAATGGTGATTAAATTAACATGAAGTCAGCATGAAGTTTTTGTCTTGGTTTTTAGTATGAAACCAGAAGGACAGCAAAATTATCAGCAATATAAAGCATCTGCTAGAGAACACCTGAGTACAAAGCCTGTTGTTATTAGTAAGATGTCTGTCTGAATGGTCGCTGGAAAGGTCTTGTAAAAAAGCATCCAGAAGCAACTGGTTAATATGAATTAGGACATATTTTAAAAACAAAAAGCCAGACATCTTGATGAACCACAGTCAGTAGCTGGACTAAGGAAAGCATTTCTCTTTAAGGAACTTTGGTCTCTTCTCTATGAAGAGCAAGAACAATATTTTATTCGCACCATATGCTATCACATCATCTCAGTTCTGGAAGGAACTGGCAAAGTTATTCTTTACCTGCAGATCACCAAAAGAGGAGCAAAGAAAGAGGACTCAATACTTACAAAAGCAGAGGAAAAGTGTATCAACACACATTGCATAGACGCTGAAGAACCCATGCGCAACTAGGTAAGAACCAATAATGACAGTCTGAAAGAAAAAAAAAGAAAAAGAAATCAAACACATTCACTTCATGCTATAGTGGCTATAACCTGTTAAACAAATGGAAACATTTACTTGCAGTTCTATGAGTAAAGAAGTAGTTAGCCATGTTAGACTTCATAGTCTGAAGTCAGGCAGCAGGTAGGGCAGGGTGACACACAAGGGCACATATACCTGAGGATAGAGGCTACTCCGACGTGCTGGAATTCCAGCAATTACTGTGCTCCAGCAACCTCCTGTGTCTTGTGTATCAGCATCCCCATGCTCCAAAATGGTGGTAGGGGCACTTGAACTAAAGCTCGTTGAACTTCAGTTCAAGTGCCCTCCCTGCTATTTTGAAGTTCAGGGACATTTATACATGAGACACAGCGGTGCTTTAATTAGAGCGGCTCTTGAAGCCACTCTAATTAATGTGCTGCCCTCCAGAAGCATGTGTAAAAGTGCCCTAAGAGACTAATTATTTAGTCTCCTGTTCCCCTCTAAGGTAGTGTCCTACTTTCTGTTTCACTCCAAGTTCTATAATTCTACAACAGTCTTTCTTCTATGAAAAAGCATCACAAGTTCAAGTTATTGCATGCTAACATATAGCTGACACTGGTTTTTAAGCTGGTCATTGACCTCAACGCTTGAAAAATCACAGATGGACTAGGAAATTTAGTTTCAGTTCGTTGAGTTCTTTCACTTTGTCCCTTCAGGAAAGATGGCCCACTAAGCTTCAAGATATCCAAGAATCTATGAGGGGAAGCATTTATGCAAAATCCAGCTGCTCTCTAATTACTCCATAGGGCTCGTCCATTAGAAAATATGCCATCACTGGCTGCCTACTGCCTACCCCAGGTGCTGGCTATGGAGGCTTATGAAGATCTGGCATAGAAGCTAACTCTTTTGTGGTATCCTTCCAGACACACTGTACCATTTCAGTACAAACTTCACGAAAGGATGGAGCATGGCCAATCTGTCTTGTCATAGGAATGGATACCATTCCCATGAAAACAGTGGTGGAGCTATTGCTCCTCAGGAACTCTGTCTCAGATGTACCCCTCCTCATTTCCTGAGTGTTCAAAGAATAAAAACGTTATCCTTACCAACAAGGGAACCCAGTAGTAATTTAAAGTTGGTGCTTCTTGTGTGAATACTTGTATTCTGTGTGTGAAGAAAAAGAAAGCTAGAACACCTGCAAGAAATATAGATCTTTAGTTATTCACAGGGTAGCTATTCACAACTCATGTGTGCTATCAGTTCTTTATAAGTTTAGTTTATGGGGAAGTTTTTGAGCAATAAATCTCTAGATACTAATTATTCCCCATATCTGTATTCTGACAAGAACAGAAATGCAAATTAATTATTATAAAGATATCCATGATGCCAGAAAGACATGAATTAATTGCTTTGTTTCATGATTCAGATTGGGCTTTATATTAGACCTAATAAACAAGAATATACAAGACAATAAACTGTGAGGTAATACAAAAATTGCTGGATTGATCATTTAGAAAAGCTAAGCTAGCAAAAGTCTGCTGCTTTAGTTTTCATCCCTTGGAGAAATATTTAACCATTGTGGATTAAAAATAGAAATGGCATGGTTAGTGATAAACACACTTAATGATAAATCTAAAGCTAGAGATATTAATTCATTATTATATCTATGCTAAGCAGAACAGGATAGGCATGTTAATGAATTAGCCTAAAGAATTTATCCTTAAGGAGGAAGACATGAATCAATTTCAGTATTTCATGCTTCATATTTCAGAGACAGCTTCCAATCATATCTGCCTTCCCAGCTTGAAAGTCATTCTATAGTAATGATAAAACATTAAAGATTTGGTCTCAGTTCTAATTTTCATCTTATAGTAAAACTTACAGCAAGAATACATATATATACACATATATACATCTACTTCTATATATAGATATATCTATATATCTATGTATATAGATATCTATATATACACATACACATACACACACACACACTTTTTTTTTAAATACAAAAAGTATAAAAGATGGGGATCAGCAAAAGGATGTTTTGCAACTACTATGACAGTTTTAAAAAAGCCTTCAGGGGACACTGTTGGCTTGAATTTTTTTAAAGGGTTTCCTTAAAAAAAATTAAATGTTCTGCTGTAGCAAAATATAAATAGCACATCCTGACTTCTGTTGTAAAGGAAAAGAATTTTTAGAAAAGTTAGAAATGTTTTGTCTTCTCCTGCACTTGCAGTTAGCAGGGTCTTTGGGACAGTCTTGAGTGTAACATCACAAAAGTGGCTCATGCCACCTTTCCTCTCTCCCTACTTCCCCTTGTCTCAGTGCACACACCTACAGTTCAGTCTCAATTATAGATCTGCTGTTGTTGCCATTGATGTACACCACCTTACAGGGCCTGGGAAATGTTGGCATAAAGATGGCATTTAAAGGTTTGGGTTTTTTGGGAATTGGCTTGTAGGTATGTATTATAAGGGGTCAAGAGGGGCAGCAGGGGTTAATTGATCTCTAAAGACCTTGTGTCTCAAAGTCACACAGGGTTCCCAGCCTTCAGAAGCAGACAGAGTGTCTAACTCAGGCAGGAAAACAGCAAGCCACACATCCTGGGTAACTAGAAACATCCAAACTTTATTTTCATAATAGAGATAGGCCTGGCTTCAGGGCAGTAGTGCCTGCTTGCAAAAAGCCTTAAGCTTTCCAGTTTTGGTGGAAGAAACCAAATTAGGAGAACACTGGTAAAGCTCCAAATTAGGAGGTGGGCAAGTTTTAGAAACAGAACGAGAAGCAGTTCGCATCAGCCCCCGACCTCCAAGGCTGCTGACAGTTAAGCAAAGGAGCTCAAGGTGGCATTTACGTACCGGATGGACAGACCGCTCACTACAAATTCCCTTGTGTATATTCTGGGACTGGGGAATTTGGGTAATGTACACTGTATTTGCTTTGCCTGCATTGCTTTCATTTCCTATAACTATATATCAATAAACTCGCCTATTATCAACTGGCAAGTGTTATGATCAATCTGAGGGTTGCGCTTGCCCAGAATAAAAGATATAGGGGCTGGGTCAAATCCAGTGCCAACAGGAAGAGGAAAGCACCTGTAACCTAGTGAGTGATAGAGATTCTCTTTCTGTGTCCAGCCATCAAAGACAGTCAGTTGCAGACTTAGACAGACAGCTTTATTTCATGCTTTAGGAACCCATCCTTTTATTGGTGGAAATCCCTGTTTCAAGACTTGTGTGCCATCAGAACAGATGGTTGCCATCAGAAGATGGTACCCCCAATAAGATGGTGGCCATCAGAAGAGATGGTTGTTATCACACACTCCATACAGGACAGTGAAAGTGACCCTACTGATAGTGCTGTCAAATGCACAAAGAACCATGTAAAAGGAGAGGAAATATGTCCCTTGGACCAAATCCGGCAATTCTTTACTCGTGTATGTAGGTCCTGTAAGTAAGTAATAGCAAAGTGTGTGAGATCAGGATGTTGTAGTGCTGTCTGGACATACACAAGTTTGGCACATACTAGGATACCTGAGAACAAGAACCAACACTATATTGAAATAACCAAGTGGCTTACCTACACCACCAGCAACGAGAATTTTCCCCAGGAACAATAAGAAATCTGTAACTTTGTCCAGCACGGCAACTCTGTTTAAAAGAGGACAAATGGCATTTAAGCACCTCAAAATGGAATAGCTCCATTCTATTGTACGAAATCCACTGAATGTTAGGAAACTGGCTCAGGAAGTTCATGGTCTTGCACTGGTTCTTTGACCAACATAAAGAACAGTCAACATGGAGATGATACATGCAGGAGGGTCACTAGTAAGTAGAATGTTATTACTAAGTGATCAACCAGGACAAGGAATACAATAGAAGGCAAAGGCATTCAGCACCTTGCTGAAATAGGTCCCACTCCGACAAAGCTGCTGACGGTTTGTGAAAGCTACTTATTAGGTGCAACTCCTGCTGCTAATGAAACCTTCCTGTATTTATTTATTTAAGCCTTTTCTTCATATCATGGGAAGGTCATGTCTTCATATCATATCAAAGAACCAGTGCAAGACAATGAACTTCCTGAGCCAGCTCTAGCTGGAGGTAAACTGGAACCCAAAATTCAGGACACCCATTAGTTGCAGAATATTAGGAGACTGTCTTTCTCTTTCACTAGCCCAGAGTGCACTGAAACTACAAAGATATGTTGAGCTGTCTCAGCACAGCTCAGCACAGATGGGGGAACCTCAAGGCAGAGAGATAGCCCCAGAAGAATAAATGCATCTGAACAGAAAAAACTGACAGTTAAGGCTCTGTTTCCACTACAAAGATGCTCCTGCAATAGCTGTGCCAGCATTGCTCTGTCAGCAGAGTCTGCTAGTGAAGACACAATGTAAGACACAACTGGTGCATCTATACATGCTATTAATGTGTAGCAATAAACTCCAGTGCATGCTGCACAAAAGTTTATTGCTCCTGGGCACCACATTTGAACTTGCACCTGGGACTGCAGCATGTTGAGCCAGGTTGGAGCAGCCCCAGCTGGCAGGGGCCCTCAGAGGTGCTGCGGAGGGGCTGGCTGGGGCATGAGGGTGCTACAGTGTAGGGCTAGCCAGCAGGGAGCCCCCATACTTAAGCACCCTCATGCCCCAGCCTGCCCCTTCAGTATCTACATGTGCGGTGCTGCAGAGTCAAAAACTCTGCTGCAAAATAGTACTTGCATTTACACATACTAACTTGCAGCAGACTTAATTAGTTTCCTGAGGCCTAATAGCACTGCACATGTAGACGCCGAGACATTTACTGTGGAGTTAATTAGTCATCTCCTCAGTGAACATCTCATGTAGAAGTGGCCAGTGCCTATGGCTGGCATAGTCTGGGAACAGACCTGACCTTTCTGCCACCATAAAAATATTTAAGCAGCACAAAGGCCAAGTGAACAGTTTGTCCATGCCATTTGTTGTGCCACAAATGCTCAAAATTGGGGCCATGACATGGGTGGTGCCCCCTTTTTGCAGCAGACATCTATTTACTTTAGGCAGGAGAGTGCGGGTAGCCCAGAGCTGCCCATGCAGTCCAGCTGCCCCAGGAGACAGTCCAGGGGTTTTAGGGGCCTGATCTCCAATTTGCAGAGGTGTGCCCCAACCTGGGATATGGCAGCACAAAATGTGTGCCTAGGGAATCCCCAACCTGGGTATTCCTGAAGAACACATCTGCAAGCAGGGAACACAGAATTCCCCCATCTGCAGTTGTCTTGCAGGATTGGGCCCCTGAAGCTCCAGGAACATTCTAGCACAGCTGTTGCTGCAACAAAAATATTGTCTGCTTTTACCCAGTAGTGCGGGTGAAGCCAGCAAAATCTTGTAATGTTAACCTGACTGTAACTGTTCCTTGCTCCACAGGTGGCTGTTCTGGCCCTAGAGCACCCCTTAGTCCTCGGCTTCACCACCTCTCAGGCAAAACTCCCTTTTCCTCACCTGCCACGCCTTGTTGGTAATAATCTCTAGAAAATGGGAGGCTGCCCCAGGGCTTCCCAAGCTTGATCCTGTTTTAGGGCTTTAATTGTATGGCTCTGTCCACCCCTACACCCCACCATATTGCCTGCAGATGTTATCACTTCCTGATGTCACATGCCTTTCCTGGGCTATTGGCTCCCAGCCTCAGTCCTTGCCTCTCTTGGGCTATGGGCTCCTTGGCCCTTTCACGTCTCTGGCTGTGTCCCCAACACTTTGACCTCTCTCTGGGCCCTGGCCTCACCCCTAGGCCAGATAAGACTCCTGGGCTCTCCTGGCCCTGTTCACACTCACCCCTCCTGGGCTACAGACCTCAGGGCTCCTTGGCTCTGCAAATGCTCACCCTCTTGGGGCTATAAACCTCTGGTTCCTCTGGCCTCCTGGCCCCTCTCTTCCTTCTGGGCCAACTGGAACCTTCTGGTCCCATCTCAGCCCCTCTCTAGGTTCCTGGACCCCTTAATGGGCCCCTAGGGACCTCTTCCACCACATAGTCCCTTCACAAACCTCCAGACTGCTCCAGGCTGTACTCTGCACACTGGCACTCAGAAGCTGCAGCCATTCTGCTTAGGAGATGTTTCCTCAGCAGCCTCTAGGTCCTTACTGTCTGCCTCAGCTCAGGGCCTGGGCTTGTATCCTTCCTAAACCCAGCCCCTCCTGGGTCATGTGGCTCCTGATTGCTTTCCTGCCATACCTGCAGCCTGCCGCAGCTACAGCCTGCCTGCTCTTAATGTAGCAGGAGCACCAAGCTTCCTGCTACACTGTCCTATATCTGCATTGCCTAGCCCTCAGTGTGATTAGATTGTAGCAACAAGAAGAAAAGCAAAGCAGGGCCAAGGCTTATTGCACGCAGCCTCTGACTCCAACCTTGGCAGACTCTTATCACAAATTGCCATAAATAATGGCATGGAAATGAGATTTGACTGGTGAGAATCTTGGTGATGCTGGGGGCTCTGTATATGGTACCAACTACCATGAAAGAGAAGTGGTCAACAACCAAATTGAAGAAAACAAACCATCATTAGCTGTCAGAGGTAGGGATTAGAGCTAAAAGAAGAAAATTCCAGTTCAAAACAATAAAGAGATTTTCCTGGCTCCTAGCTATAGCTATTAAGAACCATAGCAAGTAGAACAGAAAAGTGAAACTCTTTAAAGGAAACAAAGACCATTGCATCAAGGCTGCAAAGTAGGGATGGCCCTGTCCTGTTTTTAATTCTTGATAACAGAAATGGATGCTCTTCCACTTTTGCCTGGGTATCATTAGCAACAGGCATGGCTACTAACAGATTGGCTAAACCCAGCAGGACATCCTGGAGCCTTTATGTGACAACTCAATCCTCTCTTGCCATCTCTGTCTAGAACCCTTTGCTTCTGCCTGCCCCACTCTCAAAGTCTCTCTGCTCTCTTTCACTGTTCCTCTCTCCTCCCCCTCTTCCCTGTCCATGGCCTTTTCTCCATCCTCCCTTCCCCAGAACGAAATAATTTAAACTCCCTAAGCTTCCTCAGTGTGCTTCTTGCTAGTAATTAGGCCACCTCCTATTGCTCCAGCATGGCCTGCTCCTAAGGGCTTGTTCTAATCAGCACCCTGTTCCCATTCTTTTTGATCTTCCTGTATTACAGGAAGAGCCAGGAGCAATGAGAAGTGCTTATTGGAAAAAGGGGCTCAGCAGCAGCCCTGGCAATAGAGTGGGGAGCACGGGGAGGCTTCCAGCATGAGAAGAGATGCCCGATTAAATATTAAAGACTTTGATTTTAAAAGCAAAACCCTTCCTCCTCCCTGTCACCCTGTAAACCATCCCAGGATTTTTAGGCTCAGGTCCAGCTGTTCTTCCTCTTAGAAAATATGAACAGACACACATTGGCACCATCCACGCTGGGTCCAGATGCTATGCTGATAGACACCCTATAGATACATTTAATAAATCAGTACAAATCTCTCAGTTGGCTCCACTGCTTTCTTGTTAGCCCTTTTACAAGGACCAGGGATACCTAAGCTTCTACAGTGTCAATCATTTAACCCATAGCAAAACTGTGTGTCAGATTAAATCACTCTAGCTTGGACTAAGGGATACCTAGCTGTATGGCTTGCTGGTGCTAACAGGGACAACAGCATGTAAGCTTTGGACCAGTTGGAATTAATCTTCTAGGGGAAAAAGTAACTTTTCAAAACACAATAGCAGGGAAGTGTCAATCCCAAGGACAAGAGACATAGCCCCTTACCTCACCACATTGCGCATCAGCAGAAAGAACGCTTCCTTTGCCGAAGCACAGAAGTTCTTACCATATATTGCAATCTGAAAAACAGTAACAGTTGTCTGATAAGTTTTTAGCTAATCAAAGACCATTCTCATGGCTTCTGGGGCTCTATGCATGTACAGCCCTATATAATACCCTTATATCTGTGATCAAACTCCCACCCAAGCCCCATGTTACTCTCTACTTCCCCTCAGTCTCCTGCAGGCAGTATTATAATAGCTCTCCCTGGGCGTGTCTACACATGCTTATTGCTCCGGAGTTTACTGCTTCCAGGCATGCCATTTGAACATGTGCCCATGACTGCAGCATGTTAAGCCAGAGCACCCTCACGCCCCAGCCAGCCTGTATAGCATCTACACATACACAGTGTCACTAATTAGTCTACTGCACAGTAAACATTTCATGTAGACATGTCTCTTCTCTCCAACTTCTCTCTTTGTGAGGCTCTGCAGCCCTGGGTGATCTTTTGGCAGGCAGGAAGTAGACACAAAGCATAACTTTCTAAGTGGAACAGTTCAGGAACCTAGTCTTTGCCCCACTGCACTGGTGCATGACCCAGATGGGATCACAGATGGGGAATTGATGATGGCAGGTTAAGGGGAATATAGCAGGGAGGGAAGGTCCTTTTCAGTTGCATGTATCAAATAGGTGTAAAGCCATTACTGTGATTTATGCAGGAAGTAGGCACAATAAACTCAAAAGGTTTCTTTAAACTAAGAATAAGGCTCAAGGTAAGCCTGAACCAAACCTGGCTCCAAACATGTCTGACCTTTGGAAAAATTCAGTCCAGTACTAAACTCTGCAGCTGAGGCCTATCCTTTCCTTGTTATCATTGTTGTTCTTACTGCACAGCTGAGATGCACTGGACCCAATTCTTATCTCATGTAGGGATAAATCAAGTACCAGAATACTAAGGTCAGAGCAATTACATCCACATACAATTACTCCACAAAGCAAAGTCCTTAATCTGAAATAAAATCACGTTTATTTTGGAAGGGATTGGGGGAGTATATACAAGAACAGTTACTCTGGAGTATTATTACTGTCAATTTTTTCAGTGTAGACAAGGCCTACAAGAGGAAAATTCACTTCTTTCAAGATTGCAACTATTTCTGAAATTCCTTTTTTTAGTGAATGTGGTGTTAACAGCATCATTACAGTCATTTCTTCTAAGATAACAGGTATGTGATTGTAAGGCACTTAAAATCGTTTCAGGTCAAAACAGCTTGGGTTAAATCCTGCTTGTTTCTAGAAGTGTAAATCTGGAAACTTTCTTCTAAATCAGTTGGGGTTGTTGTGACATCAGCTGCTGTAATTAAGAGAATTTGATAGCTTTGAGGGTAATACAGATACTAATTGTTTTCAAATGTCCTTCTTAGCAGCGCATTTTAACAAAAATACCACAGCAGCAAGGCATGCAGCATGCCTTGGATGTGATAAAATGAATCTTGAAATCTGTGTTTGAATTGCAGGTGTGAAGGGAAATTATTATGCCAACTATGTCATACCTCCATTTCTGGAGGGGGCAGGGAAGAAATTACCACCCTTGAGGGGTAGGGGCATGTGAATTCCCCTGTCATTAGCATCCAATTCTTTAACTTCCCAATTCAAACAGTAAAAGATGATAGCCAAATTTTATCCTACGGAAATCAAAATTAATATTAAAGCACAGATGCAAGGGATTTTTATCTGAGGCCCTTAGTGCTGTGCCGCAGTGATGGGACTATAACATGCCAAAAGGCAAGCTACGCACCATGATATAAGCATTTCTGTTGATGAACTTCAAGAATTTTTCCAAACACCAGAAGCAGCATTTGAGGCAGCAGAGCAGAAATCTTGTGAAGGAATTTTGTGTACCTGCAGAATGAGAAGGAGAGAGAGTTTAGGATTTGTCTTGAAAACATGGGAAACTGAACCCCCAAGGTCTGTCAGAGGTGGAAAAACTCCCCATGTTCTCCCTCCGATAAATCCTACCCCATCACTGGGGTGAGATGTGATGTTCTTTTTCCTTCCAGAATGAATCTAGCTCATCAGCTCTAAATTCCAGCAGATCCACCTTCTGCATGAGTACAGGCAACCCTCGCCATTCATGGGGGAAACGTTCTTGTATCCCCCACGAATGGCAAAATCCGCAAATAAGGCACTGCATTCATGAACGCAGTGCCCCCAGTGGCTGGGGGGGGCATGGCTCCAGTGGCGATGGCAGGAGTGCAGCGGCAGGAGCCCAGCAGCAGCAAGCGCAGAGCTCCCGAGGAGCTCCTGTAAGTGTATAAAGTGTATTTAAAATGAGGATTCAAATATTTGAAACCATGGATGCCGAACCCGCAAATAGCAAGGGTTTCCTGTACTATTATTCAACTTTCCATGGCAAAGCAGCTTAGACTTTACTTAGAGCTACAAGAACAACAGCCCAGGACCTGAGCCTTACATATTTCATATCTGAAGTCTGGGGGAAGGAAAGCAAACATTTACCAGGGGACTTAATATTCTGGAGCAGACTATAAGTCTCACCTTTCAGTTTGTGGTCCAGGTACTCCAAGATTATTCTAATCAGCTGGACTATTGCAAGAATTAAAGACCCAAATGCCAGTGAACCTGTGTGGTATCTAATACAAAACAATATAAGGTTACACGGTGTTACAAGAGACACTGATGTAACTAAGTCTACCTTATTCACATATTTCACATTTAAGAATCTTCTGAGAAAGATGAAACACAATGAAAAATTTGCTGAGGATTTGGATGCTGCTGAAAAACTGTAAAGTGTTGCCTCCACTAATGCTATACAATAACCTCAGGCTGGCTGAACATTTTGCTTTTATATGCTGCCCCTAACCTGAACCCTGTCTATACACAAAACCTCTTAACTGAAGTGTGGTAGTACTTTTCACACAAGTAGTTTGGATTATCAGGGGCTATAGGTTAAAAACGAACCTCTGTAACTGGACACTTCTAACACAACCACTCTAGCCAATTTTGGCAGGGGAGCAATTATTATAAAAAGTAGTTATTTTTATTTTGGAATAATGTATCCACATGGGACAGTTATGCCAGCATAGCTATTGCTTGTAGGTAGTATCAGTTAATTGTCTCCTCTCTGCTGAAGAAGGAAATAATAGATCAAATGATTATTAGAATTATAGTAATTTTATAAACAAAGTTTTGTTAAAATCCATGTTTACCTATGTTAATTTTCATAAAAGGTTATCCATATGTAAATGAATCCAAAGTTTATGTATACACCTGTGCATTTAAGCACTCTGTATACACACAGAACACACACACACACACACAGAGTAACACGGTATAAGGGCATATACATTTCTGTGCATGGACCTGCGCCTTCAATTTCATGAAAACCAGGATCATATCTACACCTATGTGAATATATACCTATCATCTTGTATGTGTAGCTACATATTTTTACATATAAATATAGTGTCCAACTGATGTTCAGAAATGTGAAAGCCAACATTTCTGCGCAAAAATCTTTATTCCCACTTGCCACTACTAGGCACAAAACAAAATAACTGTTATTTCTTAGGTGCCCAATGGGCCATTTGTGAGTTGCAGTAACAAACTGGCACAGTCGCAAAACCTGTATGAGTAAATTAGGCAGATAATTTGCTAGGGCTTCTCTTCTTTTGAAATTCATACACCCCAGATAATTGGAAAATGCAGGTCCTTTAATGACTAGAAAAGCTGAGTCCTTAATAATACCACTCTTGTACACAATAATTTTCATTTGATACTTTAAGAATAATTATATTATTTCTCTATGAGTTATAAGATTTCTATGAGTTATGTATTTAGAAAATTCATAAAAGGTACAGATTCTTAACTTTACCGTATTGCTCGTCCAAAGGAAGAAAAGAGTGGCCATGGGGGAATATCAGCAGGTTTTCTAAAAGCCCAGTAGTAGGAGGCAAAGGCACCAGCAAGGGTACACTGACCCAGTGCAATTGCAAAGTTCACCAGCCAAAGAAAGACAAAAGCATTGGCAAGTTGAAAGATAAAGATGTATCTGTGGTACAGGCTTTCTCCCCCATAGAAAGCAAAAGTACACTGAGCACCAGAACACAATTTGGTCACATTGGTTGTGTTAAAAGTCTGTAGAGAAAGAAAATAAATAAAATATTCATAAGTAATGAACCTTGAATGGCTTAGCACAAATCTCATGTATTCTACCAGAGGTTTCAGTTCTTCATTCAGCATTGCTCACCAAGTGAAATCTGACTGCACTGAAATGTTTTAAATTAATTTACATAACTAAGAGGGCAATATTTTAAAAAGATGAAAACCCATGCAGGTGCTAAATCTCTGGGTATGTCAATAGGGCAAACTATTTAAATATGTATATATTTTTGTATGACTGGGGCCTAGGTAGTCTGAATTTGAATGTCAAAAGATACATAAACTATTTTGTTTCCTTGCACAATAGCTGGCCAGGCCAAAAGAAATTTTCTTAACACTTGGAGGCCAGACCTCAGTTTGCATAAATCTTCGTAGCTGTATGGAGATCAATGGATCTATGACATTTTATACCAGCTAACCATCTGGTTACAGATTATTACCTGTCTCAGATTATTAAAACAGTAATAATGTTTAAAACTGAAATGGTTTTTCTCCATTTATGACATTCACTCCTTTTGTTCAATCTGGACAATGAAGGCAAAATAATCATTTCCTAATCGTTTTCTTTTTTTTGGTTCTCAGACACCAGCAGAATGCTGTAGCGCTTGAGATATGTGCAATGCATACATTATTTTAAAACAGGTTCCATTCAATATTAAAGACCTGGAAACTTTCCTCCTGAGGTTAGATTTTATTAGTACTGATTTTTATTAGAAAAATCACCAAACCCTAAAGTTAGAGTCCAATTTCACTTGTCCCGTGTGTCCTTAGAAGCTGAAAAATGTTATGAGTATTTTTTAAATTATCATTGTTGCTAGCCCGTGTAATAGGAAACATGAAACAGTAGTTAGCATGTGTGACTAACAGATTTGGTACCTATGATAATCAGGTCTTTTCCATTAATGTGCTATGAGTCTTGGGCAAGTCTCTGAGGCCCAAATTTTCAAAACTGGCCATTGATTTGGGGTGCCCATGGTATACAAAAACAGAACCACTAAGTATTACTGGATGGTTTTCAAAAGCTAAGTCCTTGGCTTTGCGTGTCACTTCCCCAACCTGTAAAACAGGGCTACTAATACTCATTTACTTCACAGTGGTGTTGTGGGGATTAATTAGTCTATGTTTATAAAAGGCTTTGAACACAGGGGCTGTACATGAGAGGCTGATTGCACAGTTGTTACTGCAGTCATTTAGTACTTGCATAAACAAGTTACTGCGCAGTAACATCACTAAACAGCTTTCAGGTCATGATGACTGCGAGCAGCTTGTTACTACTACACAGTAACTTTGCATCATGCTTCGTGCCATGTGACATTACTGCTCAGTAGGAAAGAGTTACTGCACAGTCAGTGTCTCGTGTAGACATGGCTAGGGACTGCTATCTGACAGGAAATATCCTGCAGTTTAAAACAAGCAATAAGTAAAAAGAATTAAAAAAATATCTGTTTCATAACTAGTATTGCACATGAACTGAATGGTGATTAATACACGTAAGAGTACCCTCTTTATAACACTTACCTCTGGGTCGCAGGTCAGGTTTGCATACTTGCACAGTGTTTGATTAGCCATTACTTTATACACAGGTTCTCCTGATGTAGCCAGGAAACTGAATAAATTGCATTAAGGAGGAAACAGGACCTCCTCAGTAAAACAAACACAGAAACAGGGGACCACTACCTTTAAAATCCACATGGATTGCAGAGAGATTTTGTTTTAATGCAGCATCCTATCTGATGCATGAGGTCACCATATAAGCGAGGGTTCCCAGGGCAAAGGTATATGCAGATCTACCCTCAACCTCCACACTTCTGAACAGACGTAAGGAGGGGAGTCGCTACCATTCTTCTCTTAACCCACACTACACACAAAACTCAGCAGAGTAGATTAGTTCAGTAGGGGCCAACTTTTTGCAGGCCCTGCACCCGTCCCAAATGCCACTCTGATCCCCTTCCCCTGCCTGATCTGCTACTCTTTCTGCTCCCAGTCCTGTGCTCCTTGCCTGATCTACTCTACTTCCTTCCCTGTGCTTCCTGCTGGATCTGCTACTTTGCTTCTACTCTCTGCCCTATCCACTGCTGTGCATCCTGCTCCCTCCCCAATCTGTTGTGTGTCACACACAGAGGCTGCCATGCCACTTGTGCCATACGTTGGCCACCCCTGGATTAGTTCAGGACTATACCTCCAGTGGCTTCTGGACAGCTTCTGTGCTGGTGATACCTACAGGGGAGTGGACACAGAGTACAGAGAATGGGAAACAGTGTTCTGAACAACAATTGAGTCTCTTTTTTGAAACACTGAAAGTCCCACTTTAAGGGAAAATAAACAGCAGAGAGCAGCTATTCATTAGTCTTAGTGGAAACAGTTACATGAGGATTTTGTCTCCAGCTTGAATGTATGGGTTACTTCAAAAGAAAACTGATGTGAGCATTTACATACAGTTTGTCCTGGAGCTCTTCAGGTACCGCGCTGATACCATGGAGCAAATACTTATACAGAAGGATACACAGCTGTCACTGCCCAATAGGAAATGCAGATTGCAATTAGAATGAAGGTGATAATTGGATAGAATAATGCAGATGTTATGTAGCCAACAGCCCTATAAAGAAAACAAAATAGGTTTGAAAACTAAAACAATAAAATAAAATCACATTTTTATTAGCCCTTTAGCAATTGGTTGTTTATGTATCCCCCTACTGATATCAGTAGTTTTACCTTGGGCTGGAATCCCTGAATGCTGGCACCAGCACCTTCTTACTGCCTGCCTCCTTTCTCCTTCTCCATTTTTGCTTTCTTTTCATTGGTAGAAGCATAATCTTATTTTTCCATCATTTAATTCCCTATCTCAATCCTACAGCTCTTGCTGCTCCTAGCCCTTAACTTCCCCCTGCTATTTCCCTCCATCTTTCCTCTGTTCCTCCTGCTGCCCCAGGGGAGAACAAGAAATAATGGGCACAAACTGACTGAAATCACTTCAGACTAGACATAAGGAAAAACTTCTTTACAAGTCGAGTACCGAGGGTCTGGTCAGACTTCCCCCACAGGTGGTGTAAGGTCACTTCTAGCCGCTAACATCTATGAAACTATGAACAAAGCTCTGGCAAATGGGCTAAGTTGTCATGTGACACAAAAAGGTGAATAGCAAACTTCCAAAAGCTTTCTCACACTGCCAACTATAGGTAGGTCTAAAGACACAGCATGTGCATTATGGGACACACAAAAGTGCATAACCTTATGCTATTTATCAAATAATCATCACAAATCAATATTTTTCAATACTCTGTGATAGGCCTGCTAGCTAATACTGATGTCACAGATGCTTTACTTTAAGAAACGGATTGTTAATTGTCCTAAGAACGGATTCTAAGTAGATTATCACTATTATAAATTGCAATTTTACTGAAAGAATAGTTAAACTCTACTGAAAAATATTGCTTGATTCCCTGTCATTAGCAACCTATTTTCCATCATCCTGCATACAGGGCATGGTCTGTTAATTTTATAGTAATTACTTACACTGTTTCGCCTCATGCATTATGCATGAGTGTAAAAATATCACCCTCAAGTGACCTTTCAATGTAGCTGAAAACCTAGAAAATATTATTACCTCCCAGCGGGGAGTTTATGAAATTTCTGAAGTGTTTCTATCTGTCATTTTTTTTGAATAAAAGTGTTTTAGTGTATAAAGTGTTCCTGAATGATAATGAACAGGAACCAAAGGGCAGAGTCTAGTGCTTCCAGAATCAACTGCAATTTCCTGTGTGCTTTCCTGTATAGAAAGGAGGATGAGAACTTGCTTGATTATGAAACTTCAGTGGTTCTTAAATCCATTAAAATATTCCTAATCCTGACACCTGGGCAGCTATGATGCCATGGAAAGTAAAAGAAAATGAGGGCAGGAAGGAAAGGCACAGACTCCCATTTGTGTGTGATGAATTTGGTAGCAACTATCTATTAACTCTCCATACTGAATTCTGTTTTTGGTTAATTCATCATACAGGAAAGATAAAAGAAAATCCCACACAGCAATCATGTGTTACTATTAGAGCAGGCATCAACTATGCTAGGGTGCACACTGGTTCCCACTCTGTGGGTGCATCAACACATGCAATTAGCATGTAGCAATAAACTCCAGTGTAGTTTGCACCAGAGTTTATTGTTCCCAGGTGATGCATTTACATGTGCACCTGGGCACAGTATGTTGAGCCAGGGCAGTGCTGCCCCAGCTAGCAGGAGGCCCAGGGGGTCAGCCTGCCAGCACGGAGCTTCTGTGGCCTGTGGAGAGGCTGGATGGGGCACAGGGTGGTACAGTGCAGGGCTAGCCAGCAGGCAGCGCTCATCCTGTAGCATCCTCATGCCCCAGCCAGGGTGGTCACCACCCTGGTCACCATCTACACATGCATTTCAGCACACTAAATAACTCTGCTGTAGGATAGTACTTGTCCCAGACATGTTAATTTACTGTGGGATGCATAGTAAATTTACTGTATCCTAATTAATTTACTATGCCCTAATAGGGGTGCACATGTAGACAGTGATACTTTACTATGGAGCTAATTAGTCAAGTCAGTAGTAAAGCACACATGTAGATGCACCCTGTTCCTACCAAATGCTGAAAATGTGCCAGGTAGCTGTTTTATTGTGTTCCTCCATGGTGCTCCTTGCACTGTGTTAAGGTGACTAGATGATAGGGGTTTTTTTTTTTTTTGCTTTTTTGGTCTGCACAGAGCAGGAACTAATGTGGGATAAGTTCAGAGCTGTGCTCCCTAGCAGGGTCTGACATAGTATAGACATGAGCAGGCAGAAGTTTTGACCTCTGTACTGCTGAACATAGAGTAACAGACCAAGGAGCTCTGCTCTTACTTTATCCACATAATAAATATAATCAATGGGAATTGCACACCTGGTCTCAAGGTAAAATTTGATATTTTACTAGCTATTGAGTTTACCTGGGTCAGTCAGAGTGGATCTATGCCTCCCACATGAATCCTAGCAGTGCTATCTTGTCTCCCACATGAATCCTAGCAGTGCTCAAACATCACAGTAGCCATCCTAATTTTTAAAAGGATCCATTTAAAAATGTTTACTACTATTTCCTTTGCATAATCAGATTTTCTAGAGCGGGGTTTCAAAAATGGGTAGCTTAGATACTATTGAAACTTAGATACTATCCCTTTGGTAGCTGTCATTAAGAATGAATCCTTTTTATAATGGCCTTGATCATTCAAGTTCTTGTGCAGTATGTACATCAAACCTATTGTGCCCTTGGCAATTATGAAAGGAAGCTAAAGGCTGGTACAAGCAAACCTGAGGACTACATTCAGCCTTCTGTGTTCAATGAGAGTATGTTTCAAAACTCTCAAGCATCTTCTGCCTTATAGATAGAAAGCAGAAAACAGGTACATGTGAGGACATGTGGATCCAAGTGCACTCCAAGTCAAACAATAATGTTCCTAGTTCCCCATTCCCTTGTTTAGCCCATACTCCTGCTGAAAGGCAGGATTGCTTGCCTGCCTCAAAGCCATGCTCACAGTTGTGGTGCATACTACACTGTTTTGCCAACAGAAAAAGATTTTGTTTTTTATTTTTACAGATGTCCATGTGTCCACGTACAAATTCTTTATCAGCCACCGAAATCCAGCCCTTCTACTGCCTAAAGCCATTTCCCCTACAACGCACACCCCCTAACCCAGCAGTGGGCAAAATATGGCCTGTGGGCTGAATCTGGCCCGCCAGGATGTTCTATCCGGCTCACAGAACCCCTAAAAATTTTTGAAAATTAATATTTATCTGCTTCTGGCTGCCTGTCAAATATTAAAGGAGCCAGGGAAGTAGGACCCAGGAGAAGCCAGCAGCAGGACCCAGCAGCAAGGCCTGCCTGCCCCCACCCCCAGCCCCCATCAGTAACCCCCCTCTCCCAACTGGAAGGCCCTACCTAGCAGAGGCTTGTGGTCTTGGACTGTGGGACTGTTCCTGCCTCCCTGCTTGTGAGAGGGAAATTCATATAAGAATGTGGGGGGCCAGGAAGGGGGAGGAAGGGGAGTACCATGGATGACTGCCCCAGTCCTTGGGGCTGGGCTGGCTCCTGCTGAGTCCTGGAGTTCCGGCCGTGCAGCTGGAAACCACGTGGTGCTGGAGCGCTGCAGCAACAGGTAGGAAAGTGGGAAAAGTGGCGGTGGGGGGGAAGGAGAATGGGAGTGAGTGGGTGTGTGGGAGCGCAGCAACAGCTGGGCAGGAGCATGGGGCTGCACTGGTGTCCTGGGCCTAGCACTGGCAGGGCCCAGAGTGGGGCAGCAGGAGTGTGGGGCATGGGCTGGTAGAAGTCTGTGGAGCTGGGCTGGGCTGTGCCAGCGGGAAGAGAGGGTATCCAGCCCGGCTCCACAGAGCCTCTGGCAGCTGGGACCCCACACTGCTTCCACCTCACTCTGGGTTCCGTTGGCACTGACCCTGGGACACCAGCATGGGCCCCATGTTCCTGCCCAGCTATCGCTGTGCTCCCACATCCCTGCTCGCTCCCACTCCCCCTGCCTGCTGCCACTTTCAGCACTTCCCTGCCTGCCTGCCAGCAGCCCCTGCACCATGTGGCTCGTGGCTGCATGCATGCACACCCCCCCCACACTGCCATTTACACAGCCCAACACCCACACACCAGCCACCCTTCCCCCACACACAGCCC